GAGAATGAAATACTTACAAATACTTTTGGCTGAAGGTTCCATTGAATGGGGGGGGGGGGGGGGGGGGAATAACACTCCTGCTGACTTGGTGTCACTGCCCCACCTACTGACTGCTGTGTGCACTACTAGGGAAGATCGCCCGCCATACTGGTGACCCTGAGCTCTCACACGCCTGTAGGCCTGTCCTTAGTAATCCCCGGGGGGGGGGGGCAGGGGAATTAAAATTGTGGGGGAAGGTTTAACTATAATTGGGGGGGGGGGAGCTGTAGGAGAATTTTAATTAAAAGGGGGGCTGCAGGGGAATTATAATTAAGGGAAGGGGTTCATAATCTGGGGGGGGGGGGGGCAGCTGCAGGAGAATTTTAATTGTGTAGGGCGGGTAATTATAATTAAAAAGGGGGGGCTGCAGGGAAAATATAATTGTGGGGGAAGGTTAAATATAATTGAGGGGGGGAGGGGCTACAGAACAATTATAATTAAAGGAGGGGTGAATATAATCTGGGGGGGGGGGGCTGCAGGAGAATTATACTTGTGTGGGGAGCATAATTATAATTAAAGGGGGGTGGCTGCAGGGAAATTATAATTGTGGGGGAAGGTTAAATATAATTGAGGGGGGGGGGGGGGGGCTGCAGGAGAATTATAATTGTGTAGGGGAGGGTAATTATGATTGAAGGGAGGGCTGCAGGAAATTATAATTACAGAAGGGGGGATTATAATCTTGGGGGGGGGGCTGCAGTAGAATTATAATTAAAGGAGGGGGGGATTATAATTTGGGGGGGGATATTGCAGGAGAATTATAATTAAAGGAGGGGGGATTATAATTTGGGGGGGGGGGCTGCAGGAGAATTATAATTAAAGGAGGGGGGATTATAATTTGGGGGGGGCTGCAGGAGAATTATAATTAAAGGAGGGGGATTATAATCTGGGGGGGGGCTGCAGGATAATTATAATTAAAGGAGGGGGGATTATAATTTGGGGGGTGTTGCAGTAGAATTATAATTAAAGGAGGGGGATTATAATCTGGGGGGCTGCAGGAGAATTATAATTAAAGACGGGGGGGATTATAATTTGGGGGGTGTTGCAGTAGAATTATAATTAAGGAGGGGGGATTATATTATAATTGGGGGGTGTTGCAGTAGAATTATAATTAAAGGAGGGGGGATTATAATTTGGGGGGCTGCAGGAGAATTATAATTCTGTAGGGGGAGGGGCAAATATAATTGAAGGGGGGACACAGGGGAATTATATGTAACAGAGGAGGATGTGTGAAGTAATTATAATGGGGGGGGGGGGGTTGTGGGGCAATTATTAAATTATTGGGGAGGGGGGTAAAACACCATGTTTTTACCGGGGGGGGGGGGGGGGGCTGGGCAGGGGGCTGATCTGTGTCAGACAATTGTGAACACAGCAGAGAACTGCACAGGCACCAGGATTGACATGACCGAGTCACCTCTGAGCTAGCTTCTCAGTCCAGGAGGCAGATGGTGACCCCGGATGATGCCGGAATAAAGATGGTGCCGTGATAGCAGACGAGGGGGGGGGGGGGGTTATCGTGATCCCTGGAAGCAGTAATAAGTATCAGGAGGCGTCACCCCGACGCATGACTGAGCTGCACACAATCCATGTATGGTGACAGGTCCACGTGACATATTGCGATGTGTGTGGCCCGCTCTCTGCGTTGGCGCTGTGCGTTTTGCGGTCGATCTCACCTCTCTCTCTCTTGGCTCTCTTCCAGGACCGGAGTTCCTATGAATTTCAGCACCTCGCCGTCCCAGCCTCAGGTAAGATGTCCCTGGCAGCGCCCCTCCCTCGTTTACCTTCTGGGTGGAGAAGATCCATTGTGGAGGGTGGCGGCGGATTCCAGAATTGTAAATAATGATTCAGCCGGAACCGCCCGGGAAAAGCGCAAATCTAAGAAATCGTCATTGGAGAGCAAATAGAGATGTATGGAGGGAGGAGGGCGGAGCCAGCGCAGTCTGTAGGCGCATCTTTAACCACTTCATTCCCCGAACCGTTTTCTGCCGCAACCCCTTCAAGTCGCACAGAGTTTTTGTTTTGTTTTTTTTTTCATTTTGTTTTTTTTTTTTGTTTCATTCTGGGTTTTTTTTCGTTTTTTTTTTTTTCGTTTTTGGGGGTTTTTTCGTTTCATTTTGGGTTTTTTTTTTGTTTTTTCATTTCATTTTGAGTTTTTTTTTTTGTTTCATTTTGGGTTTTTTGGGGTTTTTTTGTTTAATTTTTTCGTTTCATTTTGGGGTTTTCTTTGTTTTTTCGTTTCATTTTGTTTTTTTTTTGTTTTCATTTTGGGGTTTTTTTTCATTTTTTTGTTTCATTTTGTTGTTTTTTTTTTCGTTTCATTTTGGGGTTTTTTTTTTATTTCATTTTGGTTTTTTTTTGTTTCATTTTGGGGTTTTTTTTTTTTTCGTTTCATTTTGTTTTTTTTTTTTCTTTTCATTTTGGGCTTTTTTTTTTTTTTTCATTTTGTTTGTTTTTTTTGTTTCATTTTGGGTTTTTTTTTTATCGTTTCATTTTGGGGGTTTTTTTTTTCGTTATTTAGTTTTGTTTTTTTTGTTTTTTTTTTGTTTCATTTTGGGGGTATTTTTCGTTTCATTTTTGGGGGGTTTTTTTTTTTTCGTTTTTTCATTTCATTTTGTTTGTTTTTTTTTTGTTTCATTTTGTTTGATTTTTATGTTTCATTTTGTTTTTTTTTTTGTTTCATTTTGGGTTTTTTTTTACCGTTTTTTCCATTTCATTTTGTTTGTTTTTTTCATTTTTTCGTTTCATTTTGTTGGTTTTTTTGTTTCATTTTGGGTTTTTTTTTTTCATTTTTTTTGTTTCATTTTGTTTTTTTTTTTGTTTCATTATGGGGGTTTTTTTCATTTTGTTTTGGATTTTTTTTTTTCGTTTTTTTGTTTCATTCTGTTTTTTTTTTTTTGTTTCATTTTGTTTTTTGGGGCCGTCTCTTTCTCTTCCTCACATGTTTTATCTTTTAGGGCCTGTTCACACTATAGAAATGCAGTCCAGATGCGTTTTTTGGCATGCTCGTTTTTTGGCGTGTTCCAGTGCTTTTTGGACACACTTTTTATGCGTTCCGGTCCATTTTTTAGGCATTCCTGTTCATATTTTCCCCTCTCTTTTTCTTCAATTTAAATAGGGACATGTGCATTTCAGTGCATTTTTGATGCATTCTGGTGTGTTTTTGATGCGTTTTGGTGCATTCCAGTGCATTTTTTATATGTTTTGGTGCCCTCTGGTGCGTTTTGGTGCATTCCGGTGCATTTTTATGCGTTTTGGTGCATTCTGCTGCCTTTTTTATGCGTTTTGGTGCATTTATGATGCGTTTTGGTTTATTCCGGTGCCTATTTGGTGCGTTTTGGTGCATTCCAGTGCGTTTTTGATGTGTTTTACCGTGTTCCAGTACAGTTCTGTGCAGAAAAAATGCAGCTTGTTCTACTTTTTTTTTCAGAATGCACTGGAACTGCAAGCACTGATGTGACCTATGACACTGACAACCATATCATCTACTTTCTGTGCGTTTTGGATGCAGAGAAAAAAAGCAACTGAAACGCATGTCATGTGAACCAGTCCTTACACTAGGTTCACACCTAAGCATTTTCCGCAGCGTTTTGCAGACACGCAGTACAGTCCATTTAACATGATTTCCTATGGGACGGGTTCACATCTCTGCGTTTTCACCCGGTGCATTTTTTTTAGAAAGTCAGGTCAGGGACTTTTTTTTATAAACGTAAAAAGTTGTGTTTTTGGTTTCTATAGACTTCAATGGAAACGTTGCAGAAAAGCATGCAATGCGTTTTTGCTGCGTTTTGCATTTTAAATCTGCCTAGTAACAAGAAAAATTTAAAAAAAGCAAGAAGAAAAAAACACCAAACGCATCAAAAACACCTCAAAAACTCAGGTGCAAAAGGCGCAATGCAGAACTGGCGCAAACACAACCTGCATAGGTGTGAACCTAGCCTTAGTCTCCGGCCACGCTGGATGCGAATTGGCATGCGAGTTGCTTTCCATGCAACCTGGAAATCGCATGCCAAATGTCCGCAATTAGAGCGGCCATATCTGTGCGCTTCCAACTTGGTCAGAGCCAGGGGCGGCACTGCTCGAGGGCCCGAGGTCAGTAGGGGGCCCCATGAGATGCCCCTGGTACCTTTTTCATAGGATTTTTTGATGTGGGCGAGGACACAGGGGCCCCATGATCCCCTATTGCCCGGGGGCCTCATGAGTTGTCAGTCTGCCCCTGGCCGAAGCCGCAACGATTTCTAAAGTAGTACATGCGCTACCTCAGGTGCGATTTGCATAGACATCTGTGTCAGATGTCTTGCAAATCGCACCTGAAATTGGCATGTCATCCGACTTTGAAATCGTGCGACTAATGCAGGCCATAGATGGGTCAAAAATTGGCCGATTTTTCAGCCGAAAAAAAATCGGCCAATTTTCGCTACATTAGTGGGTTAATTGGTCGGCCGTTTTTTCTGGATTTTGGCACATTTTTTTTATCGGTAAAGTTGGAAAAAAATCGGCCGATTTTGCCGATCGGCCGATTTTCCCGGCAATGACGGGCAAATCGGCCGATCGTTTTACCGATAAAAAATCTGCGCATGAGCCGTGACCTGCAAGAAGAAGAAAAAGAAGAAAGAAGAAAAAGAAGAAAATTCCAGTCCGCTATGATATTTGACATGAAAAAGTCTTGCTGTTGCAAAAATGTATCTATTTGTATCCGAATAAAAACATCTGTATCTGAAATGGATACAAATAGATACATTGTTGCAACCGCAAGACTTTTTCATGTCAAATATAATAGCGGAGCTCTCTACAGGGACAGAAGTAATTAAATGCCGGCCGTAGACGGGACGAAAATTGGCCGATTTTTTTACCGTTGGTGGTAACGTCGGCCTATTTAAATTGATTTTTCGTTGTTTTTTTTTTAAAAAAACGGCCAGTTTTCGACCCGCTATGGCCTGCATTACAGTGTAAGAATTTGTAGTCAACACTATATACACTATATTGGCCCCCCCCACCTCCAAATCATGTGATTCAGGTGTCCCAATCCCCTCCCAATCATGTGATTCAGGTGTTCCAATCCCCTCCCAATCATGGGATTCAGGTGTTCCAATCCCCTCTCAATCATGTGATTCAGGTGTCCCAATCCCCTCCCAATCATGTGATTCAGGTGTTCCAATCCCCTCCCAATCATGGGATTCAGGTGTTCCAATCCCCTCTCAATCATGTGATTCAGGTGTTCCGATCCCCTCCATATCATGTGATTCAGGTGTTCCAATCCCCTCTCAATCATGTGATTCAGGTGTTCCGATCCCCTCCATATCATGTGATTCAGGTGTTCCAATCCCCTCCCAATCATGTGGTTCAGGTGTTCCGATCCCCTACCAATCATGTGATTCAGGTGCTCCAATCCCCTCCATATCATGTGATTCAGGTGTTCCAATCCCCTCCATGGACACAGGTGTATGCAATCAAGCCCCTAGGCATGCAGACGGCTTCTACAAACATTGGTGAAAGAATGGGTCGCTCTCAGGAGCTCAGTGACTCCAAGCGTGGTCCCGTGATAGGTGGCCACCTGGGCAATAAGTCCATCCATGACATTTCCTGGCTACTAAATATTCCACGCTCAACTGTTAGTGGGATTATAACAAAGTGGAAGCAACTGGGAACAACAGCAACTCAGCCACCAAGTGGTAGGCCACGTCACATGACAGGGTGGGGTCAGCGCATGCTGAAGCGCACAGTGCGCAGAAGTCACCAACTGTCTGCAGAGTCAATAGCTAAAGACCTCCAAACTTGGCATGGCCTTCAGATGAGCCCAACAACAGTGCGTAGAGAGCTTCATGGAATGGGTTTCCATGGCCGAGCAGCTGCATCCAAGCCTTCCATCACCAAGTGCAATGCAAAGCTTCGGATGCCGTGGTGTAAAGCATACGTATAAAGTTGATATAAGGGGGCACTCTGAAGGGGGCAATTGATCTAAGGGGGCTTCTGATGAGGCAATTGATATAATGGGGCACTCTGATGAGGCAATTGATGAAAGTACCCCCCATCCCAGATCTTTTTGAGGGCATCCACAAATCTTTGAGACTTGATAGGGACAGTTGATGTAAGGGGGCACTCTGATGAGGCAATTGATATAAGGGGGCACTTTGAAGGGGGCAATTGATGTAAGGGAGCACTCTAAGGGGGCAATTGATCTAAGGGGACCTCTAATGAGGCAATTGATGTAAGGGGGCACTCTGAAGGGGGCAAATGATGTAAGGGGGCACTCTGAAGGGAACAATTGATATAAGGGGGCACTCTGAGGCAATTGATGTAAGGGGGGCACTCTCTAAAGGGGGCAATTGATGTAAGGGGTCACTCTAAAGGGGACAATTGATGTAAGGGGACACTCTAAAGGGGGCAATTTATGTAAGGGGACACTCTAAAGGGGGCAATTTATGTAAGGGAGCACTCTGAAGGGGGCAGTTGATGTAAGGGGACACTCTAAAGGGGGCAATTTATGTAAGGGAGCACTCTGAAGGGGGCAGTTGATGTAAGGGGACACTCTGAAGGGGGCAATTGATGTAAGGGACAATCTAAAGGGGGCAATTGATGTAAGGGGCACTCTGATGAGACAATTGATGTAAGGGGACACTCTAAAGGGGGCAATTGATGTAAGGGGGACACCCTGAAGGGGGCAATTGATGTAAGGGGACACTCTAAAGGGGTCAATTTATGTAAGGGAGCACTCTGAAGGGGGCAATTGATGTTAGGGGTACACTCTAAAGGGGGCAATTGATGTAGGGGGGCACTCTGAAGGGGGCAATTGATGTAAGGGGTCACTTTGATGAGAATTGATGTAAGGGGTCACTCTAAAGGGGGCAATTGATGTAAGGGGACACTCTAAAGGGGGAAATTGATGTAAGGGGGGGGACAATTGATGTAAGGGGGCACTCTGATGAGACAATTGATGTAAATTGATGTAAGGGGGCACTCTGAAGGGGGCAAATGATGTAAAGGAGCACTTTGATATGGACATTTTTTGTAAGGGGGACTCTTATAGGAGCCCTGATGTAAGATGGAACTCTGAGGAGGACTCCTGATATAAGGGGGCACAGGTTCTATTTAATCACCCTAATTTATTGAGGACCCAATGTCCCAGCGTTCCGTGTTCTCTCCTGCACCCACCTCTGCTGTACCGGCCCAAACGTTACTTCTGAATTTCGACTCATTAGGGTACAGAAGCATGCCGAAAAAAAACAGGAAAATACCGGTCCCTGCATCTCCCTCACTGCTGACATTATGCTCCTTGACTTTACTGCCCCCCCTTAGATCAGATTGGCCAGATCCGGCCTTGCTACAAACGATGGTGTTTGAAAATCGATCAATCCTGATGTACTGTACGGCGGCCAATCTCATTTCTTGAGGCCCAAAAAACGCCAGGATAGTACAAATCCCCCCCCAAATGACTCCTTTTTTGGAAAGTAAGCAGTCCAAGGTATTTAGTAGAGGCGTGGAAAGTTTTTTGAAGTTGCAATTTTTTTGTCACAATTTGTTAGAAAATTAAATCATTTTTTTTTTTTCGCTATTTTTTCATCCTGTGACCACGGCGGTCAGAGATTCTGACTGGTGACAGCATGTTAAAAAAAAATAATAATAATAATAAATCATTTTTTATTGAATATTTTTTTTTACTTTTTTTACTTTTTTTTTTTTTTTTAAGTGGGATATTGTCATCAGATTAGTTCAGTATCACCATAATGTAATTGGTGTAACTGGTGTCAGTGGGAGGAATAGTGCCCCATCATTGGTGTCAGTGGAGGAATAGTGCCCCATCATTGGTGTCAGTGGAGGAATAGTGCCCCATCATTGGGTGTCAGTGGGAGGAATAGTGTCCCATCATTGGTGTCAGTGGGAGGAATAGTGCCCCATCATTGGTGTCAGTGGAGGAATAGTGTCCCATCATTGGTGTCAGTGGGAGGAATAGTGCCCCATCATTGGTGTCAGTGGGAGGAATAGTGCCCCATCATTGGTGTCAGTGGGAGGAATAGTGTCCCATAATTGGTGTCATGGGAGGAATAGTGTCCCATCATTGGTGTCAGTGGGAGGATTAGTGTCCCATCATTGGTGTCAGTGGGAGGAATAGTGCTCCATCATTGGTGTCAGTGGGAGGAAATAGTGCCCCCCATCATTGGGGTCAGTGGGAGGAATAGTGCCCCATCATTGGTGTCAGTGGGAGGAATAGTGCCCCATCATTGGTGTCAGTGGGAGGAATAATGCCCCATCATTGGTATCAGTGGGAGGAATAGTGCCCCAACATTGCTGTGTCAGTGGGAGGAATAGTGACCCATCATTGGTGTCAGTGGGAGGAATAGTCCCCCCATCATTGGTGTCAGTGGGGAGGAATATTCCCCCCCATTATTGGTATCAGTGGGAGGAATAGTGCCCCATCATTGGTGTCAGTGGAGGAATAGCGCCCCATCATTGGTGTCAGTGGAGGAATAATGCCCCATCATTGGTATCAGTGGTGTCAGAGGAATCGTGCCTCATTGCTGGTGTCAGTGGGAGGAATAGTGACCCATTGTTGGTGTCAGTGGGAGGAATAGTGCTCCATCATTGGTGTCAGTGGAAGGAATAGTGCCCCATCATTGGTGTCAGTGGGGAGGAATAGTGCCCCATCATTGGTGTCAGTGGGAGGAATAGTGCCCCATCATTGGTGTCAGTGGGAGGAATAGTGCCTCATTGCTGGTGTCAGTGGGAGGAATAGTGACCCATTGTTGGTGTCAGTGAGAGGAATTATGCCCAATGTTGGTGTTAGTGGCAAGAATAATGCCTCAAGGGCCGTATAAAGGCAAGCAAAGGGCCACATCCAGCCCCAGGGCCACAGTTTGGACACCATTGTGTTTGAGTGACAGCTCTGAGTCTGCTGACATCACATCCAAAGATGGCGGCACCCAGCAGCAGTCAGGCGACTTCTGGACGTGACATAGGGGAGGACATTGGCCGGGTATTCCCAGCTCCCTTGTGTCACGCCATCATTTCCCTGTAAAGACTCTTCTAGTTGTCATCAAGGTGCCATTTCCAGTTTTCTGGTCCCTGACAGAGCCCGATGTGACCTTTGAAACACTTCGTCTTGTTCCTTGCATGCGACCTGAATTCTCATTCTGTGGCTAATTACTACACAGCAGCGCACCCCACGGCAGATTTTTTTTTTTGAAGGGCCTGCAGGTCTTCATTTCTCCATTTTCTGGAATTTCTGGAATGTGGTGAAGCGAGGCCGAGATTCCACTTTGCAAATCAAACCCAATTGTGCGTCATGAAAAATGAACCCTTTCACTGCCAGGAGCCATTTTTTTATGCACACGTTCAACAAACATTTATACATTAATGCCGGCCATAGACGGGTGTTAAAAATCGGCCGATTTTCGCACTGTTAGTGGGTTAATTGGTCGGCTGTTTTTCGGGGTTTTGGCACATTTTTTTTATCGGTCAAGTTGGAAAAATCGTGGCTGATTTTGACGATCGGACGATTTTCACGGCAATGATGGGCAACTCGGCCGATCGTTGTACCGAAAAAAAAATCTGCGCATGAGCCGTGACCTGCAAGAAGAAGAAAAAGAAGAAGAAAAGAAGAGAAGAAGAAAAAGAAGAAGAGAAGAAGTAGAAGCAGGAGAAAAAGAAGAGAAGCAGAAAAAGAAAAGAAAAAGAAGAAGAAAAAAGAAGAAGAAAAAGAAAAGAAGAAGAGAAGAAGAAGAAAAAGTAGAAAAGAAGAGAAGAAGAAAAAGAAGAAGAAGAAGAAGAAAAAGAAAAGGAAGAAAAAAGAAGAAGAAAAAAGAAGAAGAAGAAGAAGAAGAAGAAAGAGAAGAGGTAGGAGAAGAAAAAAGAAAAAGAAGAAGAATAAGAATTCAGTCCGCTATTATATTTTACATGAAAAAGTCTTGCGGTTGCAACAATGTATCTATTTGTATCCGAATAAAAACATCTGTATCTGAAATGGATACAAATAGATACATTGTTGCAACCGCAATACTTTTTCATGTAAAATATAATAGCGGAGCTCTCTGCAGGGACAGAAGTAAAAATGCCGGCCATAGACGGGTCAAAAATCGGGCCGATTTTCGCACTGTTAGTGGGTTAATTGGTCGGCTGTTTTTCGGGGTTTTCGCACTTTTTTTTTATCGGTCAAGTTGGAAAAATCGTGGCCGATTTTGACGATCAGCCGATTTTTGCCGCTATGATGGGCAAATCGGCCGATCGTTTTACCGATAAAAAATCTGCACATGAGCCGCGACCTGCAAGAGGAAGAAGAAAAAGAAGAGAAGAAGAAGAAAATAAGAGAAGAAAAAAGAAGAAGAGAAGAAGTAGAAGCAGGAGAAAAAAGAAGAGAAGCAGAAAAAGAAAAGAAAAAGAAGAAAAAAGAAAAGAAGAAAAGAAGAAAAAGAAAAAGTAGAAAAGAAGAGAAGAAGAAAAAGAAGAAGAAGAAAAGAAGA